CCCCCGCCCCGTCCCCTCAGGGCCGCCGGTACCTCTCGGAGTCGCGGCCGTCGAAGAAGACGAAGTCGCCGCTCTGGACGCACTTGGCGCAGGTGAGGCGGCGGCGCGTGGTGTTGCAGAGCGGGCACCGCTCCACCGCCACGTACAACCCCTCGGCGTCCTCCTCGGCACCCCGCAGAACCGCCGGCCCGGCCCCGGCCCCGGTTTCGGCCCCGCCGCCCTGCCCGCCGGGCTGAGGCCGGCAGCCGCTGGGAGACGCCATGATGGGCTCCCCGCGCCGCCGGTCACGTGGGACTTTGTTTTCGGCCAGGGGCATTGTGGGAAGCGGGCGGTGAGGCGGCGGAGGGCGGCCCCGGGTCCCTCCGCCGGGCAAAGAAGTAACGAGGGCGGCTTTGAAAAGAAATAAAACATTTCCTTCTTCTGTCTCGGAGCCTGGCTGCCTGCAGCACCTGCGGAAGGAAGGAGGGCTGCCCCCTTCCCTGCTCCCGGAGGAGGAGAGGGTGGGCGAGCAGTGGTGCAGGGCCTGCCCCACAGCAGGCAGGGCGGCCAGCCCAGCTCCACGGCCCCCTGCTGAGGAAATTGTGCATTTTTCTTAAAAAAAAAAATGCAGGCAGCACCCACGGCAGATCTGCCATCATGCTTACTAAAGTCTACAGTACGCAGCATGGTTGTATTCTGCTTCCCAGGGTGCTGGGTGTTTGCGTGAACCTCCCACAGGCGCTGCTGGCTGTAGCCCAGGAGAGGCATCGTTTGACTTCCCAGTGTAAGACACCCTGACCAGTACCAGGGCACTACTGGTGGGGCTCCAACTGCAGTCCTCCTCATTGCAGTCCCAAGGCGGCCATCTGCACCAGGGACAGCCAGTAACACTGCTGCATGGGCCATGTATACTAATCAAAGTCAGTCCCTACATTTACAGTAATATCAAGAACAGTTTGGATAAGAAAAGTGGCAAATATTGAGATGCATCGCTAAGTGACAGACTAGTAGGTTTCCTCACCCCAGCCTCAAGGTTGAAGCCAGAATCAGGAGTTAGATAGATATGATCAATGAGTATGTAAAAGCAGAGAGCCAGTCCTCTGCATCAGGGTATAGTGGGAAACACCAGGCAAGTAAAAGAGAGTCCACACAAGTCAGAATAACTTAAAGCAATATCCCCCCCTTCCAAAAAAACCAAACCCAAACAAAAACATGTCCCAGTTTAAAAAACAACAAACATAATCCCAGCCTGTATTGTTTCCCCTTCCTAGTGTACTTACGTGCTACAAAACACTAGCATGAACAGCACTATGTAGGCAGAACAAAGACAGTTGTTTTTAAGACAAGAGTTACCATAGCAAACATTAATCAGTAGATCCATGAAAAGGCAAAGCTCATTTCTTATCTTGAAGACTTTATCCATAGTTTTAAAGAGCATTAACTTTACTGATGAAATTATGTAGCAAGCTCTTCATTAAAATGCAATTTCTTAAAAGAGGGCTCATCTTAAACTTTTTCCAGCATCCCAATAAAAGCAGGTTGTTTTTCATTTGCAAAAGATTATTGTAACTCAAGCTTATCAGCTATTACAGTTACAGTGCAAATAAAAGTCCAGCCCATAGCTGTGGAAAGTCTACAGTGTTAGAAAACAAACAGAAGAGTAAGCCTCTGTTTAGAATAGATTTGAGTGTGGAAATCCACAGTTTGACTGTGACAAAGAATCCGATAACATAGTTAAGACAAGTTTATCATAAGGAAGCGCATGAAGTTTTTCAAACTTTTTCCAGAGGAGCAGAAAGACAGTTATAAAAGCACTTGTGAGACACATTGCAGACACAGAAGTTGAAATCACGCCCTCACCGAATCAGAAATAAAACTTGTGACAGCAAAACTAAGGCCAGCAAGACTATGACACCCCATTCTGTATTAAGCCGTTGCCCATATTGTGTATTTCCATCAAGGACAGAGGTAGCTTTTGGCCTGGGTTGCACTTAAGTCATCTAACAGCAACCTCTAGTGGCTCAGGGAGTTTCCTGACAGATCTGTCCCATCTTCAGCAGGAAACAAGGGGAGGACATAAGACAAACCCCAGCAGCACCGAAGCCCTGTTCTGGAAAAAGAAACTCCAACAAACTTGCTTCCAGAGAATCATAGGAGGTACCAGAACAGTCAAGGGACAGTCTTTGCACTGTTCCTAGTCACATCACCAGTCTGAGCAGGACGCTTTTGCAAATGACACCTTGAGTTCACTTGGAGATGAGACATAAAGTATAAGAACCCCACTGTATTTTCCTCAAGTCCATTTTAAAGGCAGTTCCTAACCGACATGTTTTTGTCTGGGCCAAGCAACAAACTCCCATCATCTGAGGGGACTTCAGTAATACAAGTGGGTACCATTTTATTAAAATCTAATTTGTGTCATAACAAATTAGATAATTTGCTTAGTTAGCCCTCTACCCACAGACTTCCTACATATGTTCCAGCACTGCCAGGGGCCTTGAATATCTTCTCTGTAAAAGGAGTACCAACACCATTACACACAAGTGTTTGTCCAACTGGTAGGATCAGAGGGATTCAACAGATGTCCTCTGCAATCACTGTCTTCAAAACACTGAAATCAAGTCATGCTGGATTTTGTAAGCTATACTGTAGACAAAAATATATTTTGAGTTTAAACATGAAAATACAACATCACAGGAGCTAGGTTTCAGTACACTTAAAGCTGAGGATTTTGATAAAGCTAGTTTGAACTATAGAGTTGATTCACCTGTTTAACAGGGGAAAAAAAGACACATGGTTTCTCTTACAAAATACTTAAGTGACACCTTAATATGCATTCTATTAAAAGTACATCCATTTGGCAAATTTTTCAGCTTGACAGAAGTTGTCAGAACTCAAGTGGGTTACAGACAGCTAATCTGAAAGAAAAAAAACATTTCACAAACTATAGAAAGGCATCAGCATTTACAGCATTCAGAATGGCATCGTTTGCTTAATAAGCCACAACTATTCAGTTGGGTCCAGGAATACCCTTGCTTCTGATCCATGGATAGTAATACAAACTCATTTATTATTCTTAGTTGCTTTATGGGCCATGTTATGATGCTTTCTTGAAAGCTTTTAGAATGGGGTAGATGTTCTCAAATGCCTCATAGATTTCAGAACGCTCTTTTGCTCCTAGAAAAAGACATTAAGGAAAAAACATGTTAAGAACTAACAGAGTGTTGGGAATAACTGAATGCAGCTCAAACCTAAGATTACAAACCATGAAGAAACACAGGAGTTTAAAGGCAACTTACTATTAAAGGCAGAATTTTTATCATACTTCCAAGCCAAACCATTCTATGATTCTAGGTGGCAGAAGGGACCTTAAAGACCATCTGGTTCCAACCCCCCTGCCATGGGCAGGGACACCTTCCACTAGACCAGGTTGCTCAAAGCCCCATCCAACCTGGCCTTGAACACTGCCAGGGATGGGGCATCCACAGCTTCTCTGGGCAACCTGTTCCAGTGTCTCACCACCCTCACAGTGAAGAACTTCTTCCTTACATCTAATCTAAATCTGCCCTCTTTCAGTTTAAAGCCATTACCCCTCGCCCTATCACTACAGTCCCTGATAAAGAGTTCCTCCCCATCTTTCTTATAGGCCCCCTTTAAGTACTGAAAGGCTGCAATAAAGTCTCCCCAGAGCCTTTTCTTCTCCAGACTGAACAACCCCAACTCTCTCAGCCTGTCCTCATAAGAGAGGTGCTCCAGCCCTCTCATTATCTTCGTGGCCCTCCTCCGGACCTGCTCCAACAGGTCCATGTCCTTCTTATGTTGGGGATCCCAGAGCTGAACGCAGTACTGCAGGGGGGGTCTCACCAGAGCAGAGGGGCAGAATCCCCTCCCTCGACCTGCTGGTCACACTTCTTTTGATGCAGCCCAGGATACAGTTGGCTTTCTGGGCTGCAAGCATACGTTGCTCACTCATATTCAGTTTTTTCATCCACTAACACCCCCAAGTCCCTCTCCTCAGGGCTCCTCTCAATCCACTCATCCCCCAGCCTGTATTTGTGCTTGGGATTGCCCCAACGCATGTGCAGGACCTTGCACTTGGGCTTGTTGAACTTCACGAGGTTCACACGGTCCCACCTCTCAAGCCTGTCAAGGTCCCTCTGGAGGAACCTCAAAGAACAATTTTTATCTTGCTTTAAGACTAGACTAGTTTTGTTTAATCTGTGGAACCAAAACAGTTGGCTACACTTGACAGGTGCAAAACATTGGCTTTGGAAAAGAAAAAGCAACTGAGAAAAGCCATGGTGTTATCTGCTTAACAGTAACAGCTCTGCCTGTTGATAAGGTAAGGGGAAGATAGAAACAAGAAATGAAGGGCATTTATTCCAATACTGGAACTTGAGCCACAGTTTGAGAACTCCCCTCCTCCAGTTCTGAGAAGCTTTTTTATTTTTAGGCTTTCTTACAGCACCTGTGATTTCAAAGCTAGCCTTTTCCATGTTACTGCAAACAAATCTTTAATAACAAGCCTTGTACACTAACTGTATTGCAGTAAGCAGGAACATTCCTCACCAGTGACACTATTATGCTAGTACAACATACACTAGCTACAAGAAAACTGTGTTTAAATGAACTAGCAGTTGCATTAAGTGCCACTCAGGATGAATGTGTAAACCTTTCCCTCAGAACACACTTGGACATAACTAACTCATCTGCATTATTGCAACTTTTACTTTAAAAAGTAAAGTTACTTTCAAGTTACTTTCTCGATTAGGGAAAATACCTCACAGCTCAGCAAATGCAGTTTTGTCATTACAGTTGGGCCCAGTGTTCACAGATGAGGACTTACCTTAGTCCTTCTGGGCAGGCTGCACACTCAAGGGTGTTGCAATTAGTGTGCCCAAACCCACAAGTATCAGTGGAATGGAACTGGCCACTATGATTTTACTGGACCCAAGAAGGTGGGGGGACATTGGAGGGGGAAGCATTTAAGCTTTGTACCGAATGCCTTGTTCTTCACTTAGGCAGAGCTCATTCATGATTACGAGAATCTCTGGCTAAGGCAGGCACTTCTCTTGTCTTTCACATACCTCAAAGCTGTGTTGCAAATATACATACAGTGCTCAGCTCCTCTGGGAACAAGTGCCATTTACCTTTCAGTACATCTGAATAAAAGTATTTTCACAAGCTTTACAAAAGAATGTGTTAGGAACATACACTCAGTAATTCAACTTTTTTGACGTGGGATCTGTGGTACAGATACCTCCTGAGCACGCTTACTCAGCA